ATATAAATTTATATAGTATCAAATTTATCTATACAATTCAGTTCAAGGCAAAAAAAAAACCTTTTACAACTAAAAAAAATGCAATTATATTTTCCTACTATATAGCTGAAGTCAAAATCCAGTCTCAACTACATTCTAACACATCCTTATCAAGGATTTTGTGTGTGTGTGTGTGTGTGTGCATGTGTGTCTTTGAGTCAGTGTTGACTTTTGGCCACTGCCTGGTCTAGTTCCTGCAGTTTTCTTGGCAAGATTTTTTCAGAAGTGGTTTGCCATTGCCTCCTTCCTTGGGCTGAGAGAGAGTGACTGGCCCAAGGTCACCCAGCTGGCTTTGTGCCAAAGGTGAGACTAGAACTCATCGTCTCCTGGTTTCTAGCCTGGTGCGTTAATCACTGCACCAAACTGGCTTTCATTTATCAAGGTATTACTCAGAAGAAAAGGAAAGGAAGAGAAAGTAATCAGTAATGAACAGGGAAAGGAATTCAGCAGAAGGACCGGAGCTTATGTTCACAAGCTATTTAATAATAATGCTACTTTCTAGGAAGGAGAGTGATATATTTTTCAAAGATATATTTCTCAAAGACAAGGATTACAAGTATTTTTACTGGATCACATCCAAGTCCCCCTGTACTGAAGAAAAACATTAATATAGATTGGCCAAATCAATCAGGAGGAACATACAATTACAGTTCATATCAGCAATATTACTTAATGCATTTTATAGCAGCCTCTAGTCAACATTTTCTGGATGGCTTACAAGATAAGGGGTTAAAATCATAAAAGATTCACACCCCAACCTTACTTTAGGTTTATCCTTTATATTAGCATTGATTATTGGTTGGAATAAGGCAAAAGTGAGCTTGATTTGAAGGACATTTTACATTAATTTTATTTTATTCTCTATACCTGTAGCTTATAGCTACTTCTGGCATTATACCTAAAAGTATACTTCAAATATTTCATACAGGAAACAAGCTCAGAGATCCATGAATTACAACTGCAGTGCTCTGGAAGTGATTCTCTAGGTCCACATGTTTACTCTTTAAGAGTAATCCTCACTCCATTGAATACCTGAATTCCCCGACATTCCAGAAGAAGTCATGGCAACCTACTTCCACATGGTGGCCAAGAAAGTTATACCGACTTGTTTACCGAGATGAGCTTGACTTGAAGGAAACTTCATCTTCCTTTATCATTTATTGTCACTGTATCATTTATCTAATCCTAAATGATGCTATACTCAAATTCTTCTTTCCTGGAGTAGAATAAACCCACTGCTTTTTAAAGCTAAATCAGTTTCTCAAATGTTATATAGCTCTCAGGCATGCATATACAACCATCTAAAGTCCTTAGGACCATCCAGTCCAGATTCTTAATCTGGATGGGCCGATTCCTTTGGATTCTAGGGGTGGTTCCTCTGGATTTTAAGGCCCATTTATGCCAACTCTATTCCTGGCACAAGCCTCACTTTTTCAGGAATTCCCTGACTGCCACAATACATTTTTCTCCTTCTCCTTCCTCCTGGAAAATTGGGAACTCGCGGGATTTACATCAGTGTGGTTTCTCAAGTCATGGCCTCATAGCCCTGGGGCTTCTAAAAGCAAGACACAGCTCTTCAGGTGGAGGAGGGTATATTTGGCCCCAAGATTGGAAGTGTATAAATAGCAAAGCTAATTGTTGCTAAGCTTCTTGCCATTCTTTCATCGGTTGTCTTTTTGGGTTACTTTTATGCATTTGTTCAAGTTCTCAGTAGTGCATAAATGGAAGGCCTCTTGTGCCAGCAAATTATTTCCTCGGCATCACCTGTCCATCACATAGTAGAGTTTTTTCTTTAGCCTGTTGTCATGTCTTGCCCTCTACAATATTGGAGAGATGATATCATAATATCCCTTTTGCAGAACAGATCTGTCCCTGTGCTTCAGAGGAAGCTGAGTGCTCCTTCAAAGCCCTGCAAAATGTTCCCTTTATAGTTTTGTTTTTATTAATGTATAATTTCATTTTGTTCTTTTTAGCCTTTTTATTGCATCTAGGTTTTATTTCTTGTTATATTTTATTCATCACTGACCAACAGATGATCTTATTTATATGCATTCACACTCACATAAATGCATGTAAACGTATACCACTTAATAGCTCAATAGTTCATAGGCAGAACTTCAGTATTCTATGCTTAAAGTGTTTTTCCTCATTTTCATTCGATTACCTAGGCTCTATTCCTGTGCTCACTGCATTGTAGTGAATTGCTATATGCATGTTTATTGATGTTTCGGAAACATTCTAGATTTCAGGCATTTCACCGTTTTTCCAGATAAAGTTTATGTTTTCTCTTCCAACGCCATGGCTTCTTGGGGCTTGTTCTTCTATTCTTTTAAGAAACTGGCTATTTACAGTGGTACCTCGGTTCATGAACTTAATTTGTTCCACGACTCTGGGCGTGAACTGAATTGGTCGTGAACCAAATCAAATTTCCCCATAAGGTTCAATGTAAATACGGTTAATCCGTTCTGACCCCTACAAATGTGGTCGCCAACCAATTTTGGTTGCCAACCAAAT